AGATTTGTTGTAGTGATCGGTGCGGAACTGGTCTTCGGGGCAGTGGTCTGTTGAGTGGACACTGGTTTAGGCGCCGACTTGTTCTCAGAGACTATTGTCTGTGACGTAGACTTCTTAACAGTGGGGGTGACGGTGGCGGCAGTGGTCGGCACTATGAGTATGGGTTTCTGCTGAGCAGCCGGTGCTGCGGTGGACACGGCCTTAGGTGCCGGCGCTGTCGTACTGGTCGGCGCCATCGGATGTAAACGAGATTTGAATGTCTGAGCCAATGGACTGTCCGGAAAGTAATAACACATTAATGACACAAATATTATCATAAAAGTCACCCAAAACTCACTTCAATGGCTTCGACGTCGAGGAAGTGGTGACTGTATTGAGCGTCGGAGTGGACACCGAAGACTTGATCGTAGCCTTAGGCGAGACAATAGGCTTTGCATCGGACTCTTCGGCAATCCTTCTCACGGGCGGTGCCACCGGTTTGACGTTATTATCAGCAACTGATCCATTGGTGTCTTTGTTGACCACCGGTTCCGGCGAATTATTCTCCTTCTCTTCGCCGCCATTCATCTGATCCTTAGTTTTATTGCTCGCATTCAACGACTTCTGCGGCGATGTATTCACGCTATTAGTGGTCACTTCGGCTGCGAAAGACACCACAAATTATCGGTGATTTCACCGCAAAATCATCAAAAATCGCGACCAAAAAAAAACTCACAATTCCTGCCGAAAAACCTGTTCCAATAGATCATCTGATTGGAGGTCATGGAGGTCCTGACCTCCCAGGCCAGTGACGAGGGTCTGTCCCTCTGCGGTGTGGACTCGTAGTCGCTCTTGAGGTTCAGCCACTCTATGAGTGCCGTGAATTCGCGCCTATAGTTGTCCAAAACCATGAGCGTCTCCTTGCACTCCACCACCGACTCGTCCGACTCGCAGTTCTGGTAGATCTCGTCCACCGCGCGGTTCAGGTTATCGAATAGGAAGGCCCAGTATCTGCACCTCAGCTCCACGTCCCGCGACCTCCCTGTCCATCACCGCACCAGACATAGGATTAGTGGTGTAATCAATGCTAAAGTCTATAACAAGTGGTAAGTCTTGATCTCTCGCTCTCTCTCTCTCTCT